ATTTTACAGTTTCGGACAATAACTCAAAAATGCTTTCAACAGTTCTCATGAAACTTTGATGAATTGTTGATATCTATTGATGTAAGCTCCCTTTAGATTTTTCTAAATTTTAGATTTTATGTTTCCAAGTTACAGGGTTTAATTCATTAAAAAAGGGGGGATTTTCCAGTTTTCAGACAATAACTCAAAAATGCTTTCAGCAATTCTTATGAAACTTTGGTGAATTGTTTATATCTATTGATGTAAGCTCCCTTTAGAATTTTATAAATTTTATTTGTTTATAGTCTGACAACAGATTTACTAAGTGTTGCGCAACAGCATAGTGTATTGCACAACAGCAAGAAATCTTTAATTGAATATAAATTCAATTCATATAACCAATTTCAAGTTCTTTGACTACATTTATTCAAAACCTATAATATGTCATATATTTAATTACAATCCAAATTCAGACCTGTATCAAGCTTGAATATTGTGTCCATTTTTCCCCCAACTGTTCAGGGTTGGACCTCTGCGGGCGTATCCAGCTGCGCTTAGCGAAGCAGTTTATTAATGTCTGACAGTATGACAAGAGGGCACGAGATTCACTGCACAATTTAAAAATTTCTGCTTAAATAAATTGTAAATTGAAGTTTCAAAAGTTGTGCAAAATTTGTTGGATGTGTACCCATTGAAATTTTATTTAGAGAATGTGGTTTCTTTTATTGGTGGAAAATGGTTTCAAACTAGCTTTCTGTAGTTGCGAGTACTCTTAGTTCAATAGTTTGGGCTGCTTGGTTATTTTTTGTGTGTGCCAAGTACCAATATGTTGGGTAGGCTCTTTCCAACTTTGTTGTTTTTATACGACCGCATAAAATTTTGCGGTTGTATATTGGTATTACGTTGTCGTTGTCAGCGTCGGACAATAACTTTAGTAAATGTAAATAGAAATCTATGAAATCTATGAAATTTAAACACAAGATTTATAACCACAAAAGGAAGGTTGGGATTGATTTTGGGGGTTATAGTCCTAACAGTTAAGGAATTAGGGGCCAAAAAGGGGCCCAAATAAGCATTTTTCTAGTTTTCAGACAATAACTTGTGGAACGGTGTATGGATCTCTCTGAAATTATACCACAAGTTTCCATACCACAAAGGGATGGTTAGGATTGGCTTTGGGGGGTTATGGCTCAAACCGTTTAGGAATTAGGGGCAAAAAAGGGGGAAAAACAAGGGTTTCCTGGTTAATGGACAATTAAAAAAAAGTACAATGTTATGTTTGGATTACCTCCCTTACACTGCTTTTAAATTATGTATAAAGAAATGTTGTATTGTCTTGAGGTGATTAGCTATCAATTTATTTTTAGTAGTGACTATTTATTAAAACAGACCTGGGGTCAATTACATGCCAAAGTAATTAATTACATTGCAATTACATTGCTTTTTAAATGTAATTGATTATATCACAATTACATCGATTTTCAAATGTAATTAATTACATTACAGTTACATTGCCAATGTAATTAATTACATTTCAATTACTTTTGTCCAAAGAAATGTAAGAGCTTCATCATTTAGAATAAAAAATCGTAAAAGTAACAACAGTCTAGACAGTAAAAATATTTGTTGATGATTTGTTTTAAGTTTTTCAAATTTCTAACGTGATTGTTACATATAATCACCATTGGATTTTCACTGTGATTATTTGATTGGATTTCTTATTTTTATGGGAACAAATTTATATAATATGTATGTAAATCGTTATAAAAATATTTTTTTATTTCTTAAAAATTTCTACTAAAAGTGTTAATTTAGATGTTTTAAAAAGGTACCTCATGTGAAATTTGAAGGAAATTTGAAGCATCTTTTTATTACTTAAGAACTAATGGTAGCATATTCAAGACTTGTCTTTTGGCAAGTCAAAATTGTTAAGTACATTGGGCTCCATTCTAGTATGTTTTGACTGCTTTGTTTAAATTTTGTAGAAAGTATTCAAATAGTATTCATCTGAACATATTTTGCCATATAAAAATGATGGTTTAAAATAAAAATTGCCTTTGGCATTTTAATCAAGGGACAAACTTTTTCTTAATAATTAGCTAAGTGAAAGGAATGACCTGAGGCTAAGATTATGATAATTGTTAGAACAACATATTTACAAATTGTATGTAAATAAATTGGTATTGTTTTAATTTTTGATGTAAACATGTGAAAAATGAATGAATTGAATACAAATAAAGATTATTATACATGATATAATTATTAATGAAATATCAAGGAATGATATGTTTTTCCATCATGATAAATGTTTAAAAAGTATTTGAAAAAATTAAAGCACCAAACTTACTAAATGTAGGAAAACAAATATAAGTTGCATCAGAATAGCCAAATATGTTTTAAATTTCCTAGCAAATATTAAAATGTAATTCAAAGTAATTGAAAAGTAATTCACAATTACATGGGGAAAAGGCAATGTAATTCATTACTTTCAATTACATGTAATTGAGTATATGCTCAATTACACATGACATTGAATTACTTTCAAAATTGTAATTAATTACAGCTAACTACAATTACATTTTTAATTACCCCAGGTCTGATTTAAAAATGCTGATAAAGGAATACTAATTTAAGCCATGATTATGTATGTCATTTTCTATTTTATGACTTTGATGATGTATTTAAATGGGTAATTATGGTTGCAAACTCCATTGAAAATTTGAATTGAGATTATGACCATATCTTGAGGGAAAGAATTTTTTTTTGGAAAAAAGGGGGGGGGGGTGAAAAAAAATTGGTGGGGGGGAAGTGAAAAAAAAATTGGTGGGGGGGGGGGGGGTGGAAAAAAAATTGGTTTGGGGGGTGTAAAAAAGAAATTGTGAGGGGGGACAATTTTTTCTCATTTCAGATTTCAGAAATTAAAAAGAAAATTACAAATATTTTATTTTTGCAAAAAAAAAGGGGGGGGGGTGTAAAATTTGTTTATTTTTTTTGTTTTTGTTTTTGGGGGGGGGGGGGTCAATTCGCAACAGCATAGTGTATTGCACAAAAGCAAAAAAAATAATATAAATTCAAATCATATAACCAATTCTAAGTTCTTTGACTACAGTTATTCTGTGTCAGAAACCTATTATGTGTCAAATATTTAATTACAATCCAAATTCAGACCTGTATCAAGCGCGAATATTGTGTCCATTTTTACCCTCACTGTTTAGGGTTGGACCTTTGAGGTTGTATCCAGCTGCACTCAGTAAAGCAATTTATTACAGTTTGTTCTAATGTTGTGATGTTACACCACTGTACCAAATTTGGGGGTGTAGGGAGAGCAAACAAACATTCAAATATAATTACTAAGCCCTGTCACAAGTGCCCCAAACCAGTGGTTGTAACTGTTATCAATCTGTCATATTTGGTTTTTTTTGTTCATTTTTATAATTAAAATTTTTAATGATAATAAACAATAATCAGATTACCCGGTATCTAACTTCGTATATTTTACTGAAATAGACCTGTCAAACGTTTATTGTCGTTAAAAATGTCGCTTAAATGTATGCATCTTTTAAAACTGTTTTATTAAGCATATTATATTGAAAATCATTATTTTAAGGGCATGTAATATTTTAAATAAAACTTTTCTAATTGATATGATTTCAACTAATATTGAACTGAAGATGTTGCCCTTTTAAGTAATATAAGTGATGATTGTTTGAAAAAAAATATTAAATTGCCAAATAGATGCCCAAAAGTAAAAATAGGAGTTACAAATCCGATTGAATACAATTCTTTGCCTAATTTAATTGATTCTGTAACGTTTGTTTCAAGGAGGACCAACGTCTCATCAAAAAACACCAGCAAGTATCAGGACCCACCAGCACAATGTCAGGACATACCAGCACATAATCATGACATGTCTAAACTGAGAAAATGCACAATTTTGATTAATTGCAACAGTTTTTCACAAAATAATTTTGTCTAGCGGTTTTGTGTATGGAAAGAGGACTCCAGGAGCATTTTTGTTTTCTTTTTTCAGTTCTAGATGTTTTAAAATTGAACACTTTTGTGTTATGCTTACTGAAATATTTTAGAGCGACAATTTTTTAATTGCTTGCCTATGAACTAATAAGAAACACATTTAAAACATCTCATATATTTCCTTCTATTTTTTATTTGAGAAATTGTCCAAAAATCATCATTTTGTCTTTTTTTTTTACATTTTTTCAATGATTACCAGCACTGTTCAGGACCAAATCACCAGAGAATGTTCTCTCGCAGGATGACTTTACTCACAGCGATGCTATATGATCAGTTTTCACATCCATTTATCGACAACTTTCTGTTAACTGATTCTTTTAGCCTGAGTGTAGTTAGTGATTAATAGCTTACAGAACATCTTGATCCTTCAATCTGACTCTACTTAAGAATAAGGAATACTTGTGTAAAAGGTAGAGAACTGTGTATTTATTCTTTTGCATGAGGAGAGGAACTTACATTATATGTACTCTTACAGATCTTTGGAAGTTTTAAGTATCCACCTCTCCTCAGGAGTAGGTAGTTTCCCAGTTACTCTGATGTCCGCACAGCCTTAACACATTCAAAAAGAGTAAAGATGTCTTCTTTTTAACATTTTCCCATTGTCTTGCACAAACCATGAATGAATCATTTGTATTTTTAAAGTTTTTTTCTATGCATTATAAGTTTTATTTAGTTTTAGGAAAAATAAATGATAGCAATAAAATTAAAATTGAGAATGGAAATGGGGAATGTGTCAAAGAGACAACAACCTGACCATAGAGCAGACAACAGTCGAAGGCCACCAATTGGTCTTCAATGCAGCGAGAAACTCCCGCACCCGGAGGCGTCCTTCAGCTGACCCCTAAACAAATATGTATACTAGTTCAGTGATAATGGACGTCATACTAAACTAGAACATATAAGATTAAAAATAATTATTGCTGTCTGTTATAAAAGTCAATCTCACTGTGAATACAATTTTAAGTATTTTTGTTTTTATTTGATTACAGATTTATAAGGATTTAGCTGACGAGGGATTAAAATTTTCAGTCATGGAAAAATGTGGAACTTGATGTTAACAGAAATGGTGATGGAGTAAAATGGCCATGTTTCGGAATGTGTTTGGAGGTTGTGTATCTGATAGGAGTACAGAAGCCATGCGTCGTCAAAAGTATGTTTGATGCTAACAAGGTTATTTTCAGTTTTCTCCCCAGGACTTTTATATAATGCAGTTGTAAATGTGCGACATTAAACTTAATTCACCCCTTACATTATGATGCTGCAGCATGTCTTTAATGAACTGTTGCTTGCACATTAAGGATGTTCGCTACTCTGCTTCAAAATAACAAGCTTTTTAAAAAATTGTTATAAATTGATAGTATATAAATAAAGGAACTATAAAAGTAGAAAAAAATGAAGGGTCGATGTGCTTGTTTTCGAGAGATAAGACATTGAAAAATTGGCGGGAACTGTTTCTCTCTAGATTTTTCATATATTTAACATTGGCACCTTTTTTCTTTCAAAAACTACGAAAAAATATCAAGAATCTTATAAGATTTCCAAAAATGGCTTTTTAAATAATATGTAATAACATTATGAAAAGAACAGTAAGGGTTACCGGGCAAAAGTTTTATTGTCACTAAGATAGATAAAACTAGAGGATTCCAAATATCTGACAAAAAGTGAAAAACAAGAGTAGCGAACATCCTTAAAAAAATAATAAAATAGATACATGTATATGTCATCACTTCATTTATGACAAAATTACATTTAAATCCATAGATGTATAATAAGCTGGTGTCTTCCTGCTATTCCTACATTTTATAAATACATATTCCTTCTATTCCTACAAACAAAGAACAATAGATGTTGGTATAAGGTGTTTTGTTGTTTTAGCAATTTAAATTTGATTAAAATACAGATAAGTACAGGTAATCTGGAAAGGATTGTTACAATGATAAAAATAAATAGAAAAAAGTAGATGCATGTTAAACAGGTTTTAAACCAATTAGAGAGAGATAAATATACCCCTAGGTACATGAATTTTTTTAAATCAATTAATTGTGATTAAAACTAAAGTATATTTTTTAAAAGTCAGGCTTTCTTAATCATTTATATCGGAAAAATGATTTTAATAAGTTGTGATAAAAATAAAAAAATCATTTCAAAATATTAAAAATAGGGCTTTTTTGTATCATTTTCAACATGTTCAATGAAATACATTAAAATATGAAATTTCAATAGGTAATTAAAACAAAATTTAATATTTTCAAAATATTGAATAAGGCTTTTTATCATTTTGAGCATTAAACTAAACCAGACCTCTAATCCTAATGATTCCTGATAGACAAAGTATTATGTGCACTTCAGATTTGTGTATATATTTTCTTTATTCCTGTAACACATCAGGTATCTAACTTTTACAATTCTTTGATACTTGCTGAATTTGAAAATAGTCGCTGTAGATCACATTTGTTATTACTATACATATATAAAGCAATGTATGATACTTATTTATGTACATATCATAGAATAAATGCATGTTTTCAATATTTTATCTGAATTCTCCTTTCAAATGTAATTGAAGTAATTAATTACATTTGCCAAGTAATTGGAAAGTAATTAATTACATTGGAAAAAAGTCAAATGTAATGTGTAATTTAATTGAAGATTTTGTAATTGTAATTGAATGTAATTAATTACTTTCAAAAGTAATTGACCCCATGTCTGTTTTTACTATGTATTACTATATTGGATATTTGGACATTTTTAAATAGGTTTACATTGAGGTTCAAAGGATCCAAAATTAGACTTTGTTTGATTTCATCAAAAACTGAATTCTTGTGGTTCTATGAAATGCTGAATTAATCTAACTGTTCATTCAGATGTTTAATTTTGCACCCTGTTTTCAAATTAGTCAATATTAAGGTATTAAACTTTGTTTGAATTCATGTTTTTTTTTTTTATATATTAAGCTTTCCTTGTAATTGATAAATAGTTATGGGACTTAAATCATACATTATTAATGTTGTAATAAGATCTTTATTTACATTGGCACAAATATCGATTTTGTCATCAACAAATTAAAACAGAACTAAATTTGTATTCTTTTCGAATCTTTTTTTTGAGGATATATAATTACACACCCACGTTTATTTTCTATATAGAGATTGCTTTATCTATGTATAACATGATACATATTTATTATCAGGTTAAATCCTACTGCCTGTCGATACTTTTATTCTGGCATTGCACAAGTTATGTCTTCTTTGACTGTCTATGGTGTTAAAACACTAAATCCCTGGGATGCGTTTAATTGATTTTAGTCTCTGATGCATGATTTTTTATTATTGATTGTTTTTGGCTTTTAACTAGCTTTCAGTAACTGCGAGTACTCTCAAATCGTACTTTCGTGTTAATTTAACCTGTTGACACAACTTGTTATGCATTTTTGTTATTCAATGTTTACTTATTTTGTGTTTTATATCTCATCTCAATATTTTTAATATGTACCACCTTTGATAAGTATTTAGTATGACGATAAATTTTGACTTCTGTGCATGTACTGTGAACAACAAATTTATTTATTTTGTAAAATATAAAAAATATTTCCGTACTCCTTACAACAAATTACTATATTTAAATTTTCCTGTGTACATTATTTTATTTAACGCCATTTTGTCCCAGGTTAGAGTTGTCTTTTTGACATTGTTTTACAGCTTTTTTATTAATATTGTAATTATATTATGTCATAGATCAAACTTATTCGTTAAGTGTATGTATACTTGTTTTTGTCTATATGTCTTTTTGATCGAGTTAAGCCTTTTCAATTGATATTTTATAGTGTGTTTTTTTATGTTATAATGTTACACTACTGTTTCAGGTTAGGGTGATGGTTGGTGCCTGTTGAAACATTTAAACCCGCTGCATTTGTATGCACCTGTCCTAAGTCAGGAGCCTTGTTCAGTGGTTTTCGTTTGTTGATGTTGTTCATAAGTGTTTCTTGTTTCTCGTTTTTATGCCCCCGCCGTAGCGGAGGGGGCATTAAGTTTTACCCTTGTCCGTCTGTACGTTCGTACGTACGAACGAACGTACATACATCCCAAAGTTGGTTTCTGTTTTCTTACTTTAGTTTGCCTCAACCAAATGTTATGAAACTTATACAAAATGCTTATTACCACAAAACACAGATCAAGTTTGAATTTTGGTGGTGTCACTTTAACCGTTCTAGAGTTATGCCACTTATGAATGGAAAAATTGCTGAAGTTTTTGTTTCCGTTCTCTAACTTAAGTTTGCCTCAACCAAATGTTATGAAACTTATACATAATACTTATTACCACAAAACTCAGACCAAGTACAAATTTGGGTAGCGTCACTTTTATTGTTCTTCAGTTATGTCCCTTTATAAATTTATATGATATGCAAGCGGGGGCATCATCTGTGTCCCATGGACACATTCCCCATTTTTTTTTTTATATAGATAAGACTGTTGGTTTTCCTGTTTGAATTGTTTTGCACTAGTCATTTTGGGGCCTTTTATAGCTAACTGTTCGGTGTGATTTAAGGCTCCGTGTTGAAGGCCATACTTTGACCTATAATTGTTTACTTTTTACACATTGTGATTAGGATGGAGAGTTGTCTCATCGGCACTCATACCACATCTTCTTATTTCTTTATGTAGCATTTATCAGTCATTGCAGAAAAAAATGGGACTTCATTTAGTTTTAGTACTGGTATTCAATATTTTTCAAACACTTCACAATTCTTTTTTTTATGACGATTGCTGGGGACAAGCCTTTCATGTGCTCATGGCACAACTGTTGATTAACTGTTTTTATTGCAGATTAAAGTTTGGAGTTCCACTACACATTGCTTTAAAGAATGGATATATACCTGTTTCACTTGTTGTAAGTATTTATCATTTTTATTATCATTTTGGTCCAGATACGGATCCTATGTCCACACTTTGCTTACAAGGATCTGACAAAATTAATTCTACTTTCTGTTCTGGAAATTATTGCATCAGCCAATGAAATTACTGCCTTCAATATTTTGAGGGTTTGTATCATTACAACAAAACCAGAGGATCCATTTAGGTCTTAAAAACAGAAAGAAGAAAGGAGCATTTTCAGATCCTTGTAAGCAAAGCTTGGACACAGGATTTGTATTTGAATCAGATTGGAAGAAAATATTACAAATATCAAGACCTATCTTCCTTCCATTTAAAGCCAAATTATTAGATAACTCTGTATAAGGAGGCAATAGGTTTGCATTCCATCTGTCTTTCCAACTTGTTTTTCAGGCTTTATTCTGTAAGCCTTTGGGCCAGGTGAGCTTTTCTCATCACTTGTCGTCTGTGGTGAACTTTTACAAAAATCTTCTCCTCTTAAACTATTGGGCCATATTTAACCAAGCTTGGACACAATCATCATTAGCCAAGTGGCAAAAATTTTCAGAATGTTGAGGTCTACCAAATGTCCATCCATTTATGTCAAAACTGACAGGAGTTATGCCCTTAAATGAATAATTTTACAATTTTTATGCCCCAGCCGTAGCGGAGGGGGCATTAAGTTTAACCCTTGGCCGTCTGTACGTACGTCCCAAAATTGGTTTCCGTTCTCTAACTTGAGTTTGCCTTAACCAAATGTTATGAAACTTATACACAATGCTTATTACCACAAAACACAGATCAAGTTTGAATTTTGGTGGCATCACTTTGACCATTCCAGAGTTGTGCCCCTTTATAAATGGAAAAATTGCAAATTTTTTAGTTTCCGTTCTCTAACTTAAGTTTGCCTCAACCAAATGTTATGAAACTTACACACAATGCTTATTACCACAAAACACAGATCAAGTTTGAATTTTGGTGGCGTCACTTTAACCGTTTTAGAGTTATGCCCCTTTATAAATGAAAAAATTGCAAAATTTTTATTTTCTTCTAAATATCAAGTAATTTTTAAAATTGGAGTTATCTTCCTTTGTCCATGACTATAGTTGAATCAACTACAATTAATGCTTTATACAATGCAATGTTTAATTTTGACTTCCACTGATAAAACACAGATCAAGTTGAATTTGGGTAGTGTCACTTTAACCATTATTGAGTTATGCCCCTTTATAAATCGAAAGATTGCAAAATTTTTAGTTTCCATTCTGTAACTTAAGTTTGCCCCAACCAAACATTATGAAACCTATACACAATATTCATTACCACAAAACTAAGATCAAGTACAAATTTTTTGTTTCCGTTTTCTAACTTTAGTTTGCCTCACCCAAATATTATGAAACTTATACACAATGCTTATAACTACATAATACAGATTAAGTTTGAAATTTGGTGGTGACACTTTTACCATTCTTGAGTTATGTCCCTTTATAAACATAAAAATTGCTGAAGTTTTCGTTTCCGTTCTCTAACTTTAGTTTGTCTCAACCAAATGTTATAAAACTTATACACAACCGTTCTAGAGTTATTCGTGTTTACAAATAGAAAAATTGCTGAATTTTTAGTTTCTGTTCTCTACTTAAGTTTACCTCATCCAAATGTTATGAGACTTACACACAATGCTTATTACCACAAAACTCAGATCAAGTTCAAATTTGGGTAGTGTCACTTTTACCGTTCTTCAGTTATGTCCCTTTATAACTATATGATATGCAAGCGGGGGCATAATCTGTGTCCACATGTGGTCACTATCCACATTTATTTCTTCATTCTTTATTATTTTCTTGAAATCCATAATAGATAGCGAGAAGCTTTAAACAGCAAAACTGATCTGCAAGACAAGCTCTACAAATAAGTCAAGGGACCAAAATCGTCATACGTCTTCTTTTTAGAGTTGTAGCCCTTTAATGATGATTTTTACCATTTTTTGCACTTTTATATTCCGTTTACAGGATGTTTTATGGCATACCTTTGTCTGCCCGCCCATCCGCCCATCTGTCCGTCCAGTCTTGTTAGCACTCTCACGTGTACAATTCTTGCTAGATTTTTTTTAGGTTTATATCAGCAATGTCTCAGACGAGTTTGAAAAATCAGTGCTAATTAATCATTTTTAAAAGAGTTATGCCCTTAGCAACATTAATTATATGAAAAATTGCACCGTTAGCACTCTTATGTGTACAATTCTTGCCAGATTTTTATCTAATTTATTCCAAAGGTTTCTTTCAGCAATGTCTCGACCAAGTACGAAAATCAGTGCTGATCAAATATTTTTAAAAGAGTTATAACCCTTGGAAATATTAATTATATGGAAAATTGCATTTAAAGTGCTCTCATGTGTACACTTTCTGTCAGATTTCTATCAAATTGATATCAAATGTTTATATAAGTAATGTCTTGAACAAGTTGGAAAATCAGTGCCGATCAAATTTTTTAAAAAGAGTTATGCCCCTTGGAAATATTAATTATATTGGAAATTGCATTGTATTTGCTCTCAATGCAAGTCTTCATTTCTCTTCAGATATTTGTAAAAAGTTTTAAAGAACAAAAAAAAAAAGAAGAAATTTTTGAAAAATTTATTGTTTTCTTGGGTTTCCTGTTACATGTTATGCATATAGCATTATCATATCCTATTGTTTTCTTATTGCATTAGACTAAGGGTTTAAGTAATGATCTATTTAAAAAAAAACCAATAAAAAATAATGATTTATCTGGCAATTCAGATCACTGCAAATACTTATGAATTTGGCAACCCTGTTTTAGGTTTTCAAAAATTTTGACCTCAAGCCATTTATTGTTGAAATGTGCACATGCTGCAGTGGAATTGATGCTGTTAATGTGAATGCAGAGATCGGTTTAATGTCAAAAATTTCATTGACTGACAAGTTTTTCAACTTTTCTAAATGCAAAGGAAGAAAACTGACTTTTGACTGTTAACATATAGGGGACATCCGTTTTAATTGATTTTTGGTGTTTAATGCAACTTTCAACACAATGGCTATTTTGTGGTGGCCAGTTTTTATACGCCCAGTTACAGGACGTATTATGGTATACCGTTGTCCGTCGGTCTGTCGTCAACATGTTGGACAATAACTCAAAAACCCTTTAACCAATTTTGAAACTTTGATGAATTGTTTATATCTATTGACGTGAGCTCCCTTTAAATTTTTATAAATTTTGGATCTTTCGTTTCCGAGTTATGGTGTTTTATTCATTAAAAAAGGGTGATTTTCAAGTTTTCGGACAATAACTCAAAAATGCTTTGAACAGTTTTCATGAAGCTTTGGTGAATTGTTTATATCTATTGATGTGAGCTCCCTTTCGATTTTCATAAATTTTATTTACGTTTCCATGTTATGGTGTTTTTTTTCATTAAAAAAGGGAGATTTTCCAGTATTATGACAATTACTCATAAAAGCCTTGAGCAGTTTTCATGAAACTTTGGTGAATTGTTTATATCTATTGATGTGAGCTCCCTTTCGAATTCAATAAATTTTAGTTTTTACGTTTCCAAGTTATGGGTTTTTTCAAAAATGCCTTGAGCAGTTTCATGAAACTTTGGTGACTGGTTTATATCTATTGAAAAAGCGACGGGCCTATCATGCGCTCATGGCGCAGCTGTTTATTATTGGTGGAGGAAGCCCAATGAGAACCACTACCTTCAGTAGGAAAACTGACATGGCTAGTCAATTAAGATTGGAGTCGAATGCACCTGCCACATGCATGGTTTGAACTCACAACCTCAATGTTGACAGGCTAGTGATACAGTAGTTGAACTACTGAGACCATTAGGCCACTGAGACCCCTCCCCCCACATTTAATATTGAAATGTTTGCCTATAAAAAATAGATACAGAAAAATTTTAAAAAGCTAAAGGCATCACAAGACTACAGATAAGTCAAACATGGCTAAACTGTTGTTCGATTCCTTATTGCCCCTTAATGACAATTATGACCAATTTTATGCATTTTCGCCATCACTTTGCATCTGTCATCTGTACGTCTGTCCTTCGTTCATAAACTTTTTCTTTGAAAATCTTCTCCTCTGAAACTGCTCAATGAATTGAAACCAAAGTTTGTCTGCTTAATCTATAGAATGTCAACTACAAAGTTTGGGATATTTGTCCAGATTGATCAACCAAAATGGCCTTTTGTCAAAAAATTCAACATAGGGGTCAAAATACAGTTTTGGTTATTATTTCTAAAATTATAGCAATTGGAGAAAAACTGACAGGGTAGAAATGGTCAGCAGAATAAGTTCTTTCTACCATGAAATCTGTTCTCCTATTTTGGAGTTATTGCCCCATAAATGTTGATTTTTGTCTCACCTTGACGGAGTCAAAAAGCGAGACATAGGTATACTGTTTCTGGTGGCGGTGGCATCAACAATGTATTAGTTTTTGACTAGGATTAGTTTATGGTGAACCACAAGTGGTAGGTCAATGATATTTGGTATGCAGTTTTATTAGCAATAGCACATCTTATTTCCATGGAGATTATTTGGCTCCGCCCCCTCAGTCATGGTCTATTGACTTTGAAAATTTTGCTTAGTTTACATGTATTAGTTTGTGATTAGGTCAGTTTATGGGGAAACACTAGTGGTAGGTCAATGATATTTGTTATGCAGTTGTATAAGCATTGGCATATCTCATTTCCATGGAGATTATTTGGCTCCGCCCCCTCAGGCATCGTCTATTGACTTTGAAACTTTTGCTTAGTTTATATGTATTTGTTTGTGATTAGATCAGTTTAAGACGAACTGCTAATATTAAGTCAGTGATATTTAGTTTATATGCAAATTTATTGGCATTTGCAAATCTAGTTTCCATGGAGATTATATAGCCCCACCCCCCTCATCATGGTTCATTGACTTTGAAACTTTTACATAGTTTACAAGTTAATGTTTGTATTTAGTAAAATTGAGAATGGAAATGGGGAAGGTGTCAAAGAGACAACAACCCGACCA